TAGTATTATTGTAATCGTAAATTTAAGGCTGTTAAACAAGCTACTTGAGTTGCTTTGCAAGTAAACCAAAGTGGAGTGAGTTACAATCGGCTAATAAATGTAAACAAGGGTAAACAAAATGAATAAAAGGAACTTTATAGAAGCCCTTGAGCTTTGTAAAGGGCCATCTTTATTTATTTACAGTTATCTGATACTATTAAGTGTCCTTACAGATTCGTCTAAGTGCAGTAATCGAGAACCAAAGTAAATTCGTAAACCAATTAATTGACAGCACTGAATTATTAATTGACAAGAGTAGCCTAAAGTTAAGCCATAATTGTTAATTAACCAAAATGTTATCCCACAATATCACCATTTAACAAGAATCAAAAGATTGTAAAAAGTTATTATAGGAAATATTATTTATTACAAGAAACAAAATAAGGATAAAATAAAAAGATAAATAAATAATTATAATGAATAAATTTATAGTGGAGATTAAATTAGTCATTCATCGCATCTTTTCTTTTGCTATAAAATAATAAATGATTATATCTGACTGTGATGTAGAATAGAGATTTCTAATACAACTATCGAATATATTCCTGTTTAAGTTCAACTTCAACTGACTCAAATAATAATACAAAAATGTTGCTTGTTTGAAAAAAGTAATTTTACCAATCTTGCTATGCAAGCCAGCATAAATACCAGCAAGCTCGATACAATCTGAGAGGTTGTTTTCATCAGCTGGGCATTCATTTACGAAAAAAAGAAGTAGATTTGGTAAAATAATATTCATAACGTTCTTTTTTTTGAGTGATTTTTATCTAGATTTTTGTTACTATACAAATATATTATTCGTCTATAAATTTATTTAGCCGGATAGGAACTTGGATAATTTTTTTTTATCAAGAGTTGATTGGCTTAGCCGGGCAAAGTTTTTTTGACATCACTAATTCTGGTTGGCAATAGCAAGGTTAGAATCCAAGCAACTATGTGGATCCTAACAGAGTTTTCTGCTGATGATAAAAATGCATTCCACAAACCAGTAACTTTAGGTAAAAATGACGAAGATCTGAGTATCCATTATTATTATTTATGTTATTCCAAAATTGATTCAGGTAATATAATTTAGCTGTTGATTTGTATTCTGGCTACAACATTCAGCTCCATACATCTAATTTGCAAGCGACGTTGATTTATATGTGACATTGCGATTCTGTTCCACAGCAAAATTAGTTATTTATAAGCTTTTTGCTCCATGATGGATATTTTACGACGAGTTTTCAACGTATTTCCTTTTTTGGGATCTGCGAAATTGATACGATCAAAACCTTCATATTTGTTTGTTTACTTTTTTTTCTTTACTTTTAATTAATTTATTATTTCAATTATTGTTAATATTAATAAATAATAATAATAATAATAACAATAATAACAATAATGGATAAAGCTTATACTAAAACTTTAGAAGAAATCTTGGAATATTTCGATATTGATATTGAACATGGTTTAACTGAAAAGCAACTTCAAGAAGCAATTGAAAAATATGGAAAAAATGGTATTTTAATTAATTAATCAACAAAATCCTTTTGAAGCTAGTTATCCGTTTAATTTTTTTAAGAATGCCCCTAATAAAACAACTAATAACACCTACCTTTAGATAAAAAAGTTTTAATCAATTAAATGGATCAAATTTTTAATAACTCAAATTTACTTTTTTTTAAACAACATAAAAGAACTCCCTCAAGAAGAATCTACCCCTTTGATAGAACTTATTTTAGAACAATTTAAAGATCAGCTCGTAATCATCCTTTTGGTTTCTGCTGCAATATCTTTTGTTCTTGCCTTATTTGAACAAGAAAATGAACAGGGAACAGCTTTTGTTGAGCCAATTGTCATTCTTTTAATTTTAATTGCAAATGCTACTGTTGGTGTGCTACAAGAAACTAATGCTGAAAAGGCTATTGAGGTAATTTACTTGTTTAAATATTTAATTGATACTCTGAAATATATTTTAACATCATTGTGCAAAAATCTAATTGATACATATGTATGTATTTGCATGTGTGGGTTTGCATCTTGTAACCTTTATATTTATGCTTTAAAGGAATATTCACCTGATGAAGCAAAAGTTTTACGTAGTGGTCATCCCTTTAAAATCCATTCATCTGAACTTGTCCCTGGTGATATTATTGATATTGCTGTGGGTGATAAGATACCTGCTGATGCTCGCTTATTAAAGATTAGCTCTTCCACCTTTCGTGTTGATCAATCTCTATTGACTGGTGAAAATGCTAGTGTTAACAAAGTCACTGAAACAATCAATGATCCAAATGCTGTGAAACAAGATCAAAAAAATATGTTATTTTCGGTAATTACATTTGCTTTATATTTCATTGATTAATATTATACATGTGCATTTATTTATGTATTTATTTATTTATGTGATGTATGTATTAAAGGGGACTACAGTTGTGTTAGGAAAAGGCCGCGCAGTTGTAGTTCAGACAAGATCAAGAACTGCAATAGGAAATATTCACAAAAGTATTGCAACACAAATATCTGAAAAAATTCCTTTAAAACGTAAATTGGATGAATTTGGTGATTTACTTGCTAAAGTAATCATCATTATTTTTATATTAAAAATAAATTGTTAAATAAGTATTATCAATGTTATTAATCATGTATTCAATTTTTACATTCAATTAGGTTATATCAGTTATATGTGTTCTTGTATGGATTATAAACATTCGTCATTTCAATGATCCTTCACATCATAATTGGATTAAAGGTTCTATTTATTATTTCAAAATTGCTGTTGCATTAGCTGTTGCTGCAATACCTGAAGGATTGGCTATAGTTATTACTACATGTTTGGCTTTGGGCACCAAAAAAATGGCAAAAAGAAATGCTATTGTTCGTTCTCTTCCATCTGTAGAAACATTAGGTTGTACCAGTATTATTTGTTCTGGTAAAACTGGCACTCTCACTACAAACCGTATGAGTGTATCAAGGGTATGCATATACATGCATGCATATATACATACATTATATATATATATATACATATAATTTTTTAAAATAAACTAATTCATATCTAATTGTTTAGATACTTGTTGTATTTAATGAATTCCGTGAATTCCAAGAATATTATATTGAGGGTTCAAATTATTCACCGCATGGTAATATTTTGTAAGTTATTCTTTGATATATGTTTGTTATTACTTTTTTCAAAAAAAAAAACTAAATAAAATTTATCTACAGTACTTCTGATGACAAAATTGTTGAATCGCCACTTCCTTTAACCAATTCTTGTGTAAATGATCTGGCTCAAGTTTGTGCATTATGTAATGATTCACATATTTTCTATGATGATGTAAATATTCCAGTTTTTATTTTCGTTGTAGTTGTTAATCTTTATTTACTCTTATAATAATAATTTTATTTTAATAACTTTAGGCAACTTCTACATATCGTAATGTTGGTGAACCCACTGAAGCTGCTCTCAAAGTTCTTGTTGAAAAACTTGGTACTGATAACCCTTATTTCAATTCTGTTCTTTTTGCTTTATCATCAAAAGCTCGTACAACTGCATGTAATGATTATTATGGTAGTTATAATCATCGTGTAGGTTTTTAATTTTTATTTGCTATTTATTAAAAAATGTCCTATTAATATTCTATTGTATTATTTACACTCTATTTTATAGTTAGCTACACTTGAATTTTCACATGATAGAAAATCAATGTCTGTACTAGTACAATCAAAAAAAAATAATTCTTCATATACATTACTTGTAAAAGGTGCACCAGAATCTATACTTGACCGTTGTAAATTTGTACGTTTATCATCAGTGATTTGTCCTGCAACTTCAGAATTAACTCCTAAAATTAGAAAAGGATTAAATGAAAAAATTTTAGAATATGGTAAACAAGGTTTACATGTTTTAGCTATTGCCAGAATTAGTGGATTGACATCATCATCATTGTGCGAATATGATTTTAGTGATCCTAGTACATTTATTCAGATAGAACAAAACATGACTTTTATTGGGTTAGTTGGTATGCTTGATCCACCACGTCTTGAGGTTGCTAGGTCAATAAAAAAATGTATAACTGCTGGCATTCGTGTTATTGTAATTACCGGTGATAATAAAAATACTGCTGAAGCCATCTGCAGAAAACTTGGTATATTTGGTGAACATGAAGATTTAACAGGAAAATCATATACTGGTAGAGAATTCGATCAAATGTCAAACGATGACAAATTATTAGTAGTAAAACATGCTAGTTTATTTTCAAGAACTGAACCAATTCACAAATCTGAACTTGTTTATTTACTGCAAAGTCAAGGTGAAATTGTTGCTATGGTATGTATTATATTATAAATAAATAGTATATATCATTTTTCCATAATTTTTATATCATTATAAAATAGACAGGTGATGGTGTAAATGATGTTCCAGCTCTCAAGAAAGCTGATATTGGTATGGCAATGGGATCTGGAACAGATGTTGCCAAGCTAGCTGCTGATATGGTTCTTGCTGATGGTAATTTTGCATCTATTGAGGGAGCTGTTGAAGAAAGTAGATCTATATACAATAACACTAAACAGTTTATTCGCTATTTAATAAGTTCAAATATTGGTGAAGTTTTCAGGTAAATAGGTATAGATTTCTATTAATTTTAAATTTTTTTATTTAAAATTAAAATCGTTGACAATATAAATATAAATATAAATATTTTAGTATTTTCTTAACAGCAATACTTGGTATTCCAGAAGCATTAATTCCTGTTCAACTTCTCTGGGTAAATCTTGTAACTGATGGTCTTCCAGCTGTTGCACTTGGGTTTAATCCTCCAGATCATGATATAATGAGACGTCCACCAAGAAATGCTCATGAACCTATTGTCGGAAAGTGGCTGTTCTTTCGCTATCTTATTGTTGGTACTTATGTTGGTGCTGCTACGGTGTTTGCATATGCTTGGTGGTTTTTATTTTATGAAGATGGTCCACAAATTTCTTTTTATCAATTGGTAAAAAAAGCTATATAAAATTTTTTTAATGAATTTTTCAAATAAAAAAATATTTTATTGATTTCACTTTTATAATTAGTCTAATTTTCACAGGTGTAATGAATTATTTCCGGGAATTGGTTGTGAAATGTTTTCTAACATAATGTCTATGCGTGCAACTACAATGTCACTTTCTGTTTTGGTAACCATCGAAATGTTTAATGCAACAAACTCTCTCAGTGAAAATGAAAGTTTATTAACCTTTCCGATATGGAGTAATATGTACCTTGTATATTCAATTTGTCTTTCAATGTCATTACATTTCATGATACTTTATGTTCCATTCTTTTCAGTAAGTCGGTCTCTTATTATTAATGAAAAATTTTTCATTTTTATTTATTAAATTAAAGATTGATATAATTTTAATTACATAGATGCTTTTTGCAGTTGTGCCTTTAACTTGGGCTGAATGGCAAGCAGTCATATATATATCATTACCTGTTATTTTTATAGATGAAATAATGAAATTTTTGAGTCGTATATATGTTGGTATGTATAAGCAAACAAATGAATGAATGCATCATTTATTTATTTATTAATTTAAGCTTTATTGATTTATTTTATTTATTGATCAATAGCTCCTCCAACAAAAATCAAAGTTGAATAATTATTTGTATTTGGTAATTATTGCGACTTTATATAATATATAATATATATAAATATTAATTATTTAAGAAAATGAATGGGTAGACAAGTGAGATAATAGAATTTATTTTATTGGGACATTTGATTTTAATATAATTTATTTATTTATACAAAAAAATTGTAAATAAAAATTTGTTATATAGAAGATTTTAAATCGTCTGTCATTTCTGAAATAAATAAATAAAAATTTTTTTTTAAAAAATAATTATTCAAGATGTCTATTAGTTTTTCATCCCTTTGCTTGCTTTTATTAATAATTATATTAGTATTGTCTGTCACCCAATCCGTGATTAAAATTCCCATGTTTTCTTCAGAAGTGTATATTAATTTATTCACGGAAAAATCATATTGTAATTGCATTTTCACATATCTAGGTCAAAGTCTGGAGAAAATCATATCTATCTTTGGTACTGATCTACATAATAAAATTTACGCGTTTTTTTCATATATATATAATTAACATTAAAATGTCAACTCGTGAAAGAATCGAAGAGACATTGTTTCTAAATCTATTTCAAGAAGTGACTGGTTCAGATGAATTTGATGAAAGTTTGATGAAGACAAGTTGCCCTTTGAACTGGATAAATATTTTGTTGTTGTTTGTCATTATTAATAGAAGAAGTTGCCCTTGAACTGGATAAATACTTTGTTGTTATTGTTCGTCATTATTAGCAGAAGAAATTACCCTTTGAACTGGGTAAACACTTTGCCGTTGCTGTTGTTCGTCATTATTAGTAGAAGAAGTTGTCCTTTGAACTGAGTAAATGCTTGCCATTGTCATTATTAGTAGAAGTTGCTTTTTGAACTGGATGAACACTTTGTTGTTGTTGAGGTTTGTTGAAGTTGTCTGTTGTACAGCTATTTTTTTGATATTCTCGTTTTCTTGTTTTCATTTTTATTATTTTTTTTTTTTTAGAATTTTTTTTTTGTTCTGTTTCTTGTTTCTGCTGATCATCCAATAAAGATTAGTTGTGATCGTGTAACAAGGAACAATTATGTTACATTTTTTTTAAAAACTTCTTTACGATCCTTGTCAAGAATTATTAATTTGCTAATTCTAAACAAGTTATTTGTAGTGGTTGTATCCGCCGGTTAATCGGATGTAGAAAAATTTCAATGATTAATTAATCAGGTGCTGAAAATAAAAATTTTTTACATTTTTTACTGTTATTTTTTTAAATACTATTCTATCTCTACTATTACAGTATTACACTATCACCGACATCATTTCTATTAGATGAAAGATGGATCCATTTATATGGTGGAAGAATCACAAAAATGAATACCCAACTGTGTCATTATTGGCAACCTCTATTCCAAGTGAGTGTCTATTTAGTGAAGCTGGAAACATAATGACAGCCAAATGAACAAAATTGATGTATTTCATAAAAAAAAATATGAATGTATAGTGTTATATTTTTTGTATTAAATTTATTGTTATATTTTTTTAAATATTAAATCAATAAATGTTCGGCCAATAACCAATTATCTGGGCGTTGAATTTTATTAATATTAATATTAATATGGAAGTGGAAAATCCAATGATTAGCAAAAATCCATATTTTAAAATCTAAGGATTCCAAAGACATTGAAACAACTATGCTTACAACTATATTAGGAAAAGATGAGATGAAATCAATATTCAGGATAATGTCACTTGAAAAAATCAAAATGAAAAATTAGATAAAGATGTTTCAGAATGGATGAAAGAAGATTTTATCATGCCAAAAAATATATTAGATGATATTATTCCACTAATAAGATTTTATGAAATTTCCTTATAAAAAAATCTTTAATAAAGCAATATATGAAGTTCACCAATACCAGGTTACTAATAGAGGCCAACCAAGATTTACACTCCAAAAAGTTCCAAGATCAAAAACACAAACAAGAGAATTATTGAAATCACTAATTTCAAGTTGAATTGATTGCAAAAATGACCTATATAATGAAACAACATATCTTATGGATCTGAATTAATTCTTCAAGATGGGTTCACTAGATCTGTATTTGAGGATAAATGTTATAATATTAAACAAACTGTAACCATTATGAAACTTAAAGATACAGAAGAATTAGTTGGTGGTTATAATCCAGTTTGTTGGAATATAAAAAAAAAAGTTTCCTGATCATTAGTATAAGATTGAAACAGATAAAATTCTCATTTTTAAAATTAATGAAAATCAGATAATGATTCAATGTTAAACAAAGTTAAAAAACCAGAATATCATCACGAACAAAAGTCTAATGAAACCATGGATAATACAAATTTAGAACTATATAATATGATTGATAATGAACCTTGTTGTTATTCTTATGAAAATAATTTAAAACTCAGAAATGGAAATAGAAGTGTTAATCTGTCAAAAGATTATGAAGTCTATAGGATAGTAAAAAAACAAATTAATTTGTTTAATTAAGATGGGACATATGAACCAGAATGGCTAATCACATTTCATTTGTAACAAGATTTAATTATTCAACCTAACAATGTATTTTTAACTTTAGTTTTATTATAAGATTCAAGGAAATGTCAACTTGTTTTCCATCATTAGGAAATTTAAACTTATTATTTAACATTTAACAACATAATCAATACAAAGAATGCAAATGATTTAACAAAGTTTATGATGTGATGAATGAAAATGAGATTTATGAGACAAAATCCATTTTTGCACATCATTTTTGAATTCTCCAGTATCTTTAATTTTCATAATGGTTACAGTTTGTTTAATATTATAACATTTATCCTCAAATACAGATCTAGTGAACCCATCTTGAAGAATTAATTCAGATCCATAAGATATGTTGTTTCATTATATAGGTCATTTTTGCAATCAATTCAACTTGAAATTAGTGATTTCAATAATTCTCTTGTTTGTGTTTTTGATCTTGGACCTTTTTGGAGTGTAAATCTTGGTTGGCATCTATTAGTAATATGGTATTGATGAACTTCATATATTGTTTTATTAAAAATTTTTTTATAAGGAAATTTCATAAAATCTTATTAGTAGATAATATCATCTAATATATTTTTCAACACGATAAAATCATCCTTCATCCATTCTGAAACATCTTTATCTAATTTTTCATTTTGATTTTTTCCCCACTTCCCAAATATCAATTTTATTTAATTTTAAGTCATCTTTTTCTAACATATATAATCTTTTCAATATCTTTTGAAATCCTTAGATTTAAAAAACAATTCTGGATCTTTACTAATTATCTCACAACAATAATCTTGAAGCAAATTGAACAATTGATCAGCTATTGATAGCTGATAAAATTTTTCTGATATAAAAATTTTTTACTGGGGGCATCACTTTCTAGTACAAAAATGATCTTTGAGATTCAGCTGATTAATCTATAAATAAAAATCCAGTTGTTGTCCCTGTGGTTTTTGCAAAATCTTCTTTAAAAGTTGATCAATTGACTGTTTTTACTTTGCTGATTGTTAAATTGACCAATAAGAATGATCAAAAGTTTAATTTGTGTTACCATTAAAGAATACTCTGACCATAGAGATAATTACCAGAAAGTTCTGCTCCATGTTTTTATAATAAATATTTATATATATATACCAATACAAATAAAAATAGTACCCCTGGTTAATTATTAATAAGGATACTGGCTGCAATTTTTAATGATGGCTGCTACCATCTTTGTGTCATATAAAAATGATTGCAACTGCTGGTTGCAACCACCTTTATGACCATTCTGTTTCCTTTTTTAGATTGTGATATGGAACACTGATCATTAACACATCTTCAGAACCAAACCAAACCAAACAACAACACATCATCTTGGACTCAAAAACAAATTGTTTTCCAAAAAAAAATCAATCACGCCCAAAAGATCACAATTCACATCTTAGTGTTATGACCTGTTAAGACCTTATCCAGTAGTTAATGGAATACCAGGTTGTAACAGGTTAATGTTAAGAAATTTTGCATAATGGGTTATTAATGGATTACAATTAGCTTATTATTGTTATTATTGTTGTTGTTATAGGATTTGGTGTTACAATCCGTTAACTTGTTAACAATAATAATAATATTACAATTAACAATCCATTGATCTGTTAATATTAACAACAACAATAATAATATTGATTTTTTTTATGCTGAAATGAGGACTTTTTGACCATGCTTATTTATCTAATACTAATACATTATGAATTCTACTTATTACTATTACTATTAAAATAAAATTAATATCACAATCTTTCAATCCTTTTAAAAAACATTAAATTATTTTTCAATAAAAAGAAAATTATTAAATAATACAGTCTAAGCTATCTATACCATAATGAACACTAAGTAAAATCTCTCTAAACTTTTATAATTAATTTCTCTCTTTATAATGAACATCTTAATAAACTCTCTCTATAACAAACAAAAGCAGAAAAGTAACATATAGGAAGAGGGTTTCAGTATAGGGAGCTTAGACAGTATAGGGAGGGAGACATGTAAAAGAAATAAATCATAATCCATCTCCAAATTAAATAAATAAATATTTTGTTATTTCAAATCCAACAAATAAATGTTTTTGGTTTATTAATACCATATTACTAATATTATCCAATAATATTTGCTATTTTAACGGATTAACCCTTTACCAATCCAGATGAAAAAAATCTTTGTACAACACTAAGTGCCAATAATAATATTGTTGTGTTTTATTTTTTTCAATGTGTTGTGTCATCTCATCATTTTTTTTAGAAAAAAGTCAAAACAACAGCAAAAAGCAAAATAAAAAAAAACACAAAAAAATGAGATGAAAGAAACAAAAAGTATTGTTATTTTTTAAAAAGAATGGTACATGTCATCATTCTAATTAATTCTAGTTTTATAAACAACAATATAAATTTAAACCTTTTTTTATTGATTTCTGATTTGCTTAAAAAAAATTTCATGACAAAAAACTATATTCTTTTCAATTCGCAGGAAATTTATTACTGCCAAATCAAGAAAATAATGACAATGATTATTATGGCAAAGGACAAAATACTCTTAATTGGTATATTTAGGGTTTGTATTCACAGATACAAACCCTAGATATATTTAAAACATTTATATTTATATATAAAGAAATATCCAATCAAGTAAGTATCATGACAACACTCATATCTGGCTATGTTCAATAATATTAACTCATTGATTTGATTACAGTTATCCATGTCTATATTGTAATCTAAATTAAATCTTGAAAAAATATGGGCCGAAGCCATAATCATTTAAAAAAAGTAAAATCCAAGTCCAGTAAGAATCCTTACATTTTGTTTTTCCATTGTTGTTAAATTATCATGAGTTGTAAAGTAATACTTTATTGTAGATTTATTGGGGCTTGAATGGGTGTCTTATGTTGGACCTCTATTGATTGGAATGCAATATTAAAACAAAACCTCATTTATTAAAAGATAGAATTCTGATAATATTCTCACTGTTATTGGAAACTCACCAAACAAACTAGTAAGTCATTTCTATAAATAGACATTGACATTGAACACTATTCATTAATTCTTTATAATCATTCAATCTAGCAATCTGTTGAAGATCTAAACCCTGCCTTACCAATAAATGTAGAAATGGATTCTCTTTTATGGTGGCAAGCATATGGGGTACAGAAAATAGAAACAGCCCTAACTGCCAAAATCACAATTTTGAGTTAATAATGTACTTATATGTAATTTTTCACAAGGGTTAATTTTAGCTTAGTTACTATGCCCACTTTTATTAGTAAAGTTTCAAGATATTTAAAGAAAAATAGCAAACCATATAAGAACCAAGAAAACGGAATTTTACTAAAATAAGCAATGATAGGCACAAATCCGGATATTTGGATTAAATAATGTAACACGAATTTATAAATAATAAATAATAAAAAAAATTTTCTTTTATTATATTGTCAGATCTGAGTTCAAAAGTGATTTATTCATTTATTAATTTTATCTCTGTGTCAATACAATAAAACAATTCTTCCAATTCATTTATACTAAATTACAACAACAATTTTTGTTAATATACATTTATACTTTTGAAACTATCTTTCACTATTGTTAAACAATTCCTTGTTAAGCAATACTAAACAACATCTTTAGATTTCACACTATGTCCTGATAACATTCTTAGAACTGGACCTCTCTCTGTCTAAGACAGGCATGATTAGTATGAATTCATTGTTAGAGATAGATTTATTATCATTATGAAAATATAAACTTTGAGGACTAAGTCAAGGTCAATTAAATAATCTTGAAATTAAAAAAATCACAATGTTATTTATACATGTTAAAGGTTCAATCATTTAGTTTCCTGATTTCTTAAAACTCCATTTAAAGTATTCCTAAAAATAAACAAAATCTTCCTTTTAAGAATATTTACAAGTTCTTTTTAAAGTGAATGAATGTTATTATTTAATATAAACTATCATATTTATTTTATTTATTTTATGTTATTATTATTGTTTGAAAATAGCCCCAATTTTTACTATAAATATGGCAATGATAATACAAATACTAAATTTTTGGGTCAAAATCTTTTTTTTTGATTTTCTCAAAATCATGCTTTTGCACCCCAATGCTAGAGAATCCCAATTGTGAGTGACAAGTGAAAATTAAAATTTCTAAGTATAGAAAACAAAGAGGTAAAGCTTGCAATTAAATTAAGTTTCATTTTAGATAATAACCATACTTAGTTAGGTTTGCAGCACTGAAGTAATTAATTATGGGTCTTATTCATTTTGTTGACAATCATTTCATTGACAGTCATTTTGTCAACACCCATTTTGTTGAAAGTTTGTTTCATCAAAAGTTCATTTTGTCTAATGTTCATTTCATTAAAAATTTGTTTCATTGAAAGTTCATTTTGTCAAAAACTATTTTGTCACAAAAAAAAAACTTCATTAAACAAATTTCTCCTCACACTTCCCACACACTCCACTTTCCTTGCCTAATTTCTTAACTAACTTCCCACACTCCTCACATCTAACTCATTCAGTCTCTGGCTCAAGGATGAAATAATTTTTGACAAAATGAACATTCAACAAAATGAACTTTTGATGAAACAAACTTTCAACAAAATGAACATTTGACAAACAAACATTTGACAAAATGAACTTTCAATGAAACAAACTTTCAACAAAATGGGTGTCAATGAAATGATTGTTGACAAAATAATTTTCGACAAAGTAAACATGACTGGGCTTGAGGTTGACAATAATGGAATTGATGTTTATGGTAGAAAACAGGGTTGGCAAATGTGCAGTCCATTGATGGTCTATTGGGTCCATTAATGTAACACTTTAACCATATTTAGTATTTTATTAATGTTAATGGATCAGTCCAAAACCCATCTGTTCTCAATGGACCAGTCAATTTGCCAACCCTGGTAGAAAATATCATGATGATCACTCACAATTAAAGATATCACTAAAAGATTGCTTGGATATGTTTATGGAACAGTTACACCTGCCTACAGCAGATTTGTACACTTGGATTGCAAATTATTGGTAATTGACAAAAATTTCCAAGTGATCTTTATTGAAATCATTGATAGCAAAAAAAAATTTTTTTAAATTTTATTGTTTTAATAAATACAACATAGATCATCTATTCAATGACCTGTGATCCTTTATCCAAATTCTATTTTTCACCAACTACATTCTTTTCACTTTCCAACATCATTTGCCATATTTTATAGGAAACCTACCTGATGAAGAATAACATACAGAAAACAGTACATGAATCATATTATTTTATGAATTCATTTTTCCTGTATAGGGTTATTGTCACTTCAGGCATGTATCTAATGAAAATGTAAGGTAATTGTTTTCTATTGTTTAACTTAATTGGTTCTACATCATTAGCACACCATGTTAAATATGGTGAACAAAAGCAAAGAAGCTTTGATTATTACGCCATCACCTCCATCATCACCATCATCAGGTAATATTACATCCATAAGTAATGCCATAATATTTGATAATATGTATGTAATATTTACACTGAATGTAATAATTGCATAATTTTTGTATAATAATATGTGATCTGCCATAAACTTATGTAAATGGTGCAATAATTATGTAAAATATGTGCCAGAAAAAATTTCCTGATGATTGCATGTGACATCTGAAACTCCCCACCAATAAAACGAACAAAAGATAATCCTTTCAAAGAAATCTTTCAAGGGATATATTGATCTTACATAGTTGTAAAATTCGTAAGTGAAATTGGAGCAGAAATATCAATAATAATATATATTATATACAATAATTGTTTAATCATAAAGATTTTTAACTCCTTGTCATTAATGTTCATAGATTTTATTAAAAATAACGAACTTGCTTTAAAAGTATCATATATGCTAGGAACACCGTCCTGAAAAAAAACTGTAATTCATGAATAGTGTAACATTAGAGTGAGTTATATTATTTATCATTGTTTAATAAATAGAATTAGATTTAATTATCAAGATGTTATATAAATTGCTAAATATTACAATTATAAGAATTTTATTGAGAATTTTAGAGTGATTTGATTTTGATTTGATTCGTTCTGTAATCAATTTGATTCAAACCAAAATTCCTAATTTTTTACAAAAAAGTAATTTCAAAAAAATCTTCGATTTATAACATTAAAATGTCTTCAGATGAAACTTCAAAAGAAAATAGTATAGTAGATTCGGCGACTACTAATAAAGTCGACACTTCTACTACTAATAGTAGTAGTGCCAGTCCTCCTCATATTTTCAATTTACATTTAGTTGATATAGATAAAGTAAGTGCCAATGCTTATTTCTTTCTTAATTGCTTCATTTTTTTATTCTTCAAATAAAAAAATAATATATTTTAGGAAATAATAGGTTCTTGGAAGGATGAATTATCAAAACTTCCAACAAAGCATCACTCAACTGATACAACAACATCTTGTTTAAAAGTTCATATTTATGAAAACACTTTTCAATCAGTTCTAAAATCCAATAGTGATATTCAATGTTTAGTCTCACCTGCAAATAGTTTTGGCTTAATGGATGGTGGTATTGATTATTACATTTCAGAATATTATGGTGGTGTTGATAAGCTTATACCAGTTGTACAAAAAAGAATTGAAAGAAATTGGTGTGGTGAACAAAATGTGGGTAGTTGTTTGTTGGTTGATGTTAGAGATTTGGTTAATAGATTAAAAAAAAAGGAAAATGTACAAAAAAATTATCCTAGTTATATTGCACATTGTCCAACAATGAGAACACCAAAAAAATTAAAATCTGAAGATGATATTGTTTATAGATGTACATGGGCAATGTTAACATCCATTAGAAAACATAATCTGAAAATATTAGAATCAAATAATGGTAGTAAAAAGCAACATGAACGTATAAATAATGTTCTTTGTGCAGGCTTTGGTACAGGAGTTGGCAGAGTCCCTGCAAAACATTGTGCAAAACAAATGTTTTTAGCAGTACAAAATTTCAATGAATGTCCTGCTAATAATAATGTTTTTGGTGATGATGGTAATGATGAATCAATAACAATGAAAAATGAGGGAAACGATTGGTTGGTGGAATGGTCTTATGCAAGAAAAATTGAAAGTTCTGTGCAATCTTTACTTCGGAAGGAAGATTTTTTTTAGAAAATATATTTAATTACAATAATATGATAACGTTGAAATGGGAATTTTTTTTTTGTAATTAATTTTCATTCTATTATATAAAATTATATTATATATTATATTATTTACTTTTATTTTCCAAAACTTTTTGAATTGCATCAATTATTTGGGAATGTAGATTTGGATGTGCAACTACAATTCCTTTGTTATTTATCAATTTTCTACCAAGTGAAAAATCCAATGTTTTTCCAAAAATATCGGATATTTTACCACCAGCCTCTTCTACTAAAAGTGACCCAGATGCATGATCCTATATATTTCCAATATAAATTATTAATCATTAAATATTAATGGTTAATTACTAATTAATATATTATATATATTAGCCTACCCAAATATTTTCTTGATAATCCTCATTAACGGGTAAACGTAAATATATGTCAGCATCACCTCTAGAAACCACAGCATATTTTGTTTGACTATCTATTCTAACAGGTGATTTAGTAATTCCAAGCATTGATGCTATTTTTGCAGAGTCATTTTGTGAAGAATGTGCTGCCTCAACTGATTCACAAAATGATGCTTCTGATATATTGTCAATATTTCTCATATGAATCTTTGACATCTGTGATATTTCTGTTGATGAAAAATTACCCTAAAGAATAATCAATATAAATAATTAATTGGGAAGTTTTTAAAAAAATAATCAATATATATTGTGAACTTTTTAAAAAATAATTTATTTAATTACCTGAAAAGCACCATGGCCTCTCAAAGCAACAAAGATACAACCTCTTTCGCTCTCAGGTCTTGTGAAATCTATTGGTAAATTTGGACACCCAATAACTCCTAACTGAACTTTACCATCTACGACTAATGCTAAACAAACCGCAAATTGTTCGCCTCTAAGGAATCCTTTTGTACCATCAATAGGATCAAGGAACCACATTCCTGTATATTTATGCATGATATTTAGTAATTTGATAAATTTATATTTATATTTATAAATAAATAGTTACTCACTTCCTTTTGCTCCTCCAGGATATGAACCTCTATCAATAGCATCCAAAAGCTTTGCACAACATAAATTATAAATTATTAATTAATATTTTTAACGTATATCCAAAAATCAGAATCAAAAATATTAAGCCAACCTTTTTTTCGTCTAATGGATCATCCAACACCGAATTTGTCAGATTTAATATTCTTTTGCGTAATTCTTTTACTGATGCATCATTACCATGCAATTCTCCTGAATCTTCTTCACCAACAATAGGATCATTTGGAAATGTATTAAATAAAGTTGCATTCACCACTGCTTGTGCACTATAATCCGCGACTACATTATACAATATATAAGTTATATCATATAGGTTTATAATTATAATTATAATTTCATTTATATACATCAAAATATTATTTACATACTAGTTACTGGCGACTTGTCTTTTTTAATTATTGTTTCGGAATTAACAAGTTGTTTAAATACCTTTTGGCAAACCTTACTAGCACGTAAGACTGCATTAATGGCAACTTTTTGTTCTAATGCGAATACTTAAAAAATTTTTTTGAAAAAATAAATATTATGTTTTTATAAAATAATAAAAACAAAAAAATAATAAATATATACCAGACATTATTATTATCTAAAAAAAAAATTATTTAATATTAATATCTGAAGAAAAAATTTGAGCGTGAGAAATATCCACAAAAATGACGGAATTAAAGGCATAATAATCATCCTTAGTGTAGTGTACTCGTGATAAGAAAAATTTAGGAGCTTGAATGATAAGATCATCCAACTATGAAAATTAAGTTAATTTACATGGGAATAAAAGGTAAAAAATTTATTCGAATCATTTGATTTGATATGTGTAATATTAATATCTATTTTATTATAAAATCAACAATTTTTTACTTCCGTCAACACTTTTTACTTTTCAAAATGGCCCTTGGTGAGAAACTACCTTTTAGTCAGCGCTTTCGTCATGTCAATGACAAAGTCAAAGTTTTGTAACTACTACTACAAAATCAGAAAATTGTTCCGGATATCCTAAACTTTGTAATCCTTTACCTCGAAATTCGACTGTGCCTCAACATTAAACTAGTCTAATTTTGGAGATTATCTGCAATAGATTTCCAGATTTGGTTGGCGCGTGCTGATTCCGCGATTGAATTTCGAACACTTCCTGTAATATTTTTATCTTTAAAAACATAATCTGATCCCATTTAAGCCAATTGTTGCCAAAATCTGGAAGTAGAATCTTGATAGCATTTTTGTAAAGATTTAAAAATGGTGTCATGTTTTTTATTATTTTCATCTGAAGTTTCTTTATATATTGCATTCTGAACATTATTATTTCCATTAAAATGATTAAAATAGTTAATAAAGCAAATGCTAACATGACACTACATAAAAGGTAAAGACAAAAAAGAAGAGGATCAGGAACACAAGGAAAAAGAAGACACAATAAAAGCAGTGTTAACAAAGAAGTGGACGAATTTGAATGATGACGAAGCAAACCTACTTGCAGAGTACCAGTGACAGAAAATTGAGCAGGCATCACAAGTATTGGTAAGACTAACTAAGGAGTATAGCAAAAGAGAAAGGAATTAGCTAAGCATAAACCCACCAGCATATTTGACATGTCCAGAGCCACTATAAGGTCTAGTGGGTTACCCATCTAAGTTAACTATGTTAATTAGGCAAACTCAGATTGCACATTCACATTGTTAAAGATAATAATGACAAAGATAATATAACTGTTGATATCAGTCTTACAAATAATGTTATTAATGTTGGTGATGATAAGGGAATGGTATTAATGGCATTGATAATAGTAATGTTGATGTTGTTGCTGATTATAAGGAAATAGTAGATAATCAGTAAAAAATGGAGAACTGATAAAATCAATCAATAAAATTTAATCTATAATAAATAGTGCATCAAGCTCCAACATTAGATTAGGATAAAGAAATAGTGGACAGAGCAAAAAACGATTAATATTGAAAATTTGGATGTCACAAAAATTGAATCATTAGGAATGATAATATGATACCATCAAATCAACAAGCACTTACAAGTATGGCCTGACTTGTTTTTGTTCTAATTTTAGTTTTATAATCAATTTATCTTGTATTATTTATATTATCATATATTATGTTTTATTATCATATGAAACTTCAGTATATCCAGTTCCAACTGTACACACAATAATAAATATTTTCTCAAAATTCCAAAGGTTTTTCTGCATCTTTTATCAATAAATCAATCATTCCAGATGGTAGTAATGGTACGGCATTAATTTTTAATTCTTGATTGGTTGTTTGTAATGTAGATACATTTAAATCAGGAATTAAAACATATCTAAATGGCATTGTCTAAAAGAATTTCAACAAAATTAGAAAATAAATAATATTTAAAATTAATAAAAAGATTTTATTTTTGCTTACAGTTGATTCATTATTATTCAATTTAATCTCTGGATAATCAATAAAAGAAATTTTATCTATTGGAACTTTTCAATAAAAAAAAAATATATAAAATTTTATGAAACAAAAAAAACAATTAATTAATAATAATATTGAAAAAATACCTTTTTCTTTTATTATTTTATTTGTAACATACATTGCTGTGTCTGTTGTCATTTGAATTGAATCAAGATTTCTTGTTTGGAATCCAAAATCTCTCAATTCTCCTGTTCTATCTAAAATTAAATTATAATTAATTGATTGGTTGATTCACACAACACACATGTATATATAATATATTTACCTCTTGGTGGATCATCACCTAATATTCCTCCAAATAAAAAATATTCAAAAACATTACCATCATCTGGTTTCAATGTTATGCCTGACATTGGATCTAATAAACATATTTTTTCTTTTGGAATTTTGTCATTTTTAATTAAGCTTAAATCTTTAATTTTATCAAAAAATTTATTTGAATTTTTTAATTCTTTAATTTTATCAAACTTTAATTGTTGACTTTCAGTTAAATTTGTAAAATATAAATTTGATGGATCAATAAAAGTTGCAATGTGTCGATATTCTAATAGACACCATTCATGCATATCATCTTCCATATGTTCTAATATTACGAAAAAAATTTTTAGAAAGAAAAAGAAAGAAAATCTTTAAAAAAATAAAACATTACCAATAATATATTTATAATTCATGATTTTTTGAGTGAAAAAAAAGTACTTTTATTTAAAAAAATTTATACTAATGATTGGTGTAACAAGTATAAAATATCTAAATTCTTAAAATTTCAAAAAGTCACAGAGAACTTGAATACATTGGTTCAAATAAAGTGTTAATTCCTTTTTACCATTAATTGATCGACGATTGCAAAATAATTGAAATAAATATTTATTTTAATATTTTGATTTATTTTAGTTAATTCTGTTCTATACATCAATCTATTTAATTATCATCATTACAAATGTCTGGATCTTCAATTCGTCGGAAACATGCCAAAAATTTATCACCTTTATTACGTTCTACCTTCTTTCCTTCTTCTGTTGCATCACGAACATGTGGAACAGCTGGATCTTTTTCCTAAAAAAATTTTTTTCATTAATATTAATATTAGCAATTTCAACAATACATTTCAACAATATATTTTTAATATATATATTCATCATACCAATTCTTGTTCATCTATATGCTCAAATAATGGATGTTCATTCAATCTCTTAAACATCCATTCATGAAGCTCTTTAACATCTGTTATAGTATAAATGATTCCACCAATGCGTAAAACATATGCATATTCTGCAAGAAGTTGAGTTCTTTATTATTATATATATATTTGTAAAAGAAATAGTAATATTTAAGATTTTTAGTTTTCATAATTATAATAGTTAATAATAATAATTATTATTCATATTATAGCTCACGTAATTATTCTGGCCTTATGTTTCCTAGTTTTGAAATGTGGATCTGGAAATAGGAAAAATAATTTTGCCAACTATTTTCAAGAAGAGTTATTTCTATTAAAAACAATAAATAAATATATAAACTAATTTCTATAATTAAATCAATAAATAATTCTTACTTGACCTTTTTCAAAAAAATTTGGTAAAAACTTCATTGCATTCATTCTAATAATTGAAATATTTTGATATTGACCAGGATTTTGTGAACGTAATGCATTAATACGTTCACGTACATACTCTTCTACCTTTACTCTAATCTCCATTCCTAACATTAAAGTTTCTGGGAAAATTTTAGATAAAGCAACCAATAAACCACCATAACCACAACCAATATCTAGAAATTCTACTTTTTTTATTATCGATGTTGATTGATGTTGTTGTTGTTGGTTTGCAAATATTGATGTTGATGTTGATGAAAAAATCATTTGATTCTTTTCCAAATCATTTTCATTATTTTCGATATCATTGTTATCATCTTTTCTATTTTTATCATAAAAAAATTTTGGGTAATGAACTGACCAATTCATATGATGAGGGCTTTTTGGACTATAACAATTAATTAATTGATTTATTAATAAAATAATTTCATAATACAATTTTTTTATCAAATAAAAACACGTCTTCCTCTTACTATTCAAGAAAATGGTCAGAAAATGGATTTGAATGAGCCCTTTGACGAAAATAACGTTTCTAAATACACAATATGACATGAAGAAATTTCTATTAATTGAAATAATACACATTTAATTTCTATTATTAATTAATCAATCACCTGAGGAAGTTTTGTAGACATGATTAACATTATAATAATATTAACATCAATCAGTATTAGATAAACTACATCATTTAACTAGTACAAATTTAGAAACTATCTACAGAAAATTATTCAATATTTAAAATGTTACTATTATATACTTGATTATGAATAGTTGTCGCATAATGCGTGAGCATTTGATAAAATTTTATTGCAATATTTGTTATATCAAGTTAATCAATCAAAAGAGATTTATATTTTTAGCTGATGACAATGGATCATCATACCCTTTGTAATGAAGTTTTGGATTCGATTTTAGCCTTGAAGTCCGATTAAAAACATTATTTTTTATTAGCTTCCCTCTTCTCTTCTCCCTCATCCCAGGACAATAAAATTGATGAATGTGACTATGATAAATTGTATTAAAAAGGTTTTTTTCACCAGGTCTGATTAAACTTGCACGAACTTTTTACAATATTTATATATACAGAAGAGTATCGCAATTGGGTAACCGCATATGGTGAAGATCATCTAAAGACATCGAAAAAAATGTGCAACTTCAAGTCACTAAAGACTTTTATTATTAATATAAACTCTCCAACCTTTTTAGAACCTAACAACAAATTAGTTTTTTATTAATAATGAAATTTAGAACATGACAAACTTACCTATTTTGGAAAAATACCCATGACACGTAACCAGTACAAAATTAGCTTATTATCATTATATTTTTTATTATTATTTATTCATGTACATAAATAATAGTATGACTAATACTCCGAAATTCATATTATTTTTGATTTATTCAAATTCATAAAGAATAAAACAAATAATTCGAATAAACCTTATTCAAATAGAACCTAATTACTAATACAATAAATATCAAGTTATGTGATTTTATAATATTGTAACACCAATATTATAAGCCCAAACTACTTTTTGTTATTAGCCGAAATTTGGCGAAATTATTTTAAAGTTGTTTAAGTTAAAACAAGTTGATTCATATAGTTTTTTAATGTTTATGCTTATAGAAAATGTTGAGAAGCCCAAATTGCCAAAACTAGTTTGGGCTTTGAGAAAACAGTTTGGACCAGAAACCTTAGTGTGTTTTTGCATTATTGATTCTCTGAAATTTGCTGTAGTGTACCATTGTTCTAATAAAATCTATTTGAATAATAAATCTGATGTTAATTGCAGGTGTCAGATTTAATTAAAACTTTCCTGTCACAAACAATTGCAAACGGGTGCTTTCACACCATCCCATCCCTATGGAGTTTTTCCCACAGGTGAGACACTTACATGTTGGAAGGCTTTGGACAAAACATTTACTTATCTTCCTCCCATACCAAGCTTGCTGTCACCATATGGGGATTGATTGCTGATGAGAGTTGGCATTTATGTGATGATTGCTGCATGTTATTGCCACACTAGCATAAAATTTGGCACCTGAAACTGGTTGAAAATTCAGCAACTCTGGAGGTTATAACCTGGGTCATTGTTTTGGATTTTCCCAGAATTCAGAGTTTTGAGTCCTGGGTTGCTGTAATTTTTACGAAAAGAAAAGTATTAATATTTAACAATTAATTATTTAAATGTTTATTTTGTTGAAAAAAATATACATTGATAGTGT